AACCTATGGCCTGACCACAGTGGGGCGCTGTGGCTTGGTAAAGTGCAAACATGCCGTAGTGTCCTAGGGCAAGACACATTTCCACCTCCATTGCCTAGAATAGATTCAAGTGTGTGTGTGAATGGTTTGTGGTGGGTCGGAGGGGCATGCACATACTGGTTGCCTCCATCTGTCAGGTGTGCCCCAGGCGATCAGAGGCTACAGTAAGCGTATATCACCACTGTGTATGAAGTGAATGAAAAATGCAGCCCGCGAAAATTCAATTTGGTAATAACGTTAAACCAAAAATTACCCCCCTCCAGCCGTTTCAACATCCCCAGCCTATCGCTCAACAGACCCACCCTTGCCAATCACCGTACCGACTACCCAGCCGCATAAAAACGGAGGAAAACCCCCACTCTCGCCCCTCCGAAGCCATGCATGAATCGTTCAGGAGGAATCGCTTGTCTACTCACGCTTACTCCTGCGGTCCCTGCTGTCCTCTGTCCTTGCTGCGTAGTGGCTGGCCTGCTCCCTCCACCGCGTTGCTCGCCCCTGCTACGGTCCTCGTGCTGTGGTCCGTGGGTCTTTGCAGCTACTCACTACCTTTGCGGGCCTTTCTGCGGGTCGCCACGCTGGCTCTCTCGTCGCGGCCTGCTGCTGCAATAGCACGGCCGGTGCTTGCCCGGTGGCGGCTGGATGCCAGTCGCATCCCCTGCCTCCTCGTAGGCCGTTATCGGCGTGTGTCCCGTTGTGTTGCCCTTGTCTACTGGCGTTGTGGGTAAGTAAGCGGACGGTTTATTCCTCCCCATTGTACTGCAGGCTCATTCGCCCCGCGCGTTGTACGCAGGCTCAGTGCCAGCCGTGCATGGTGTGCAGCTTCAGTTTAAACCCTCGCATTGTTTTCTGCAGGCTCTCTTAAACCAAGCTCCGTTTAAAAATCCTTCACTCTGACTGCAATCATTCCCACATTGACTGCAAGACCTCAGTTAATTCCCTCACATTGGACTTGCGTGCTCAGTTTTCAATCCCTCACTTTGGCCTAGTCAGGCTCTCTTTAAAATCCCTCTCTGACAGCGAGCTCTGTTAATCCCCACCCTCTTGGGACTGCAAGCCCGTTTAAAATCTCCCCTCTGACTGCGGCACCCAAATTGACATCCCTCTCATTGGACTGGCGAGCTCCAGGTTAATCCCGCACGGAACGCATATATCTGGAACTGCTTATATCTGGAGCTGTAATACCGTACCTGGTAACTGGCTTCATGCGGACTGCTTTATAATGGAAACTGCTATATATGGAACTGCTATATATGAAAATGGTAAATATGGAACTGCTTATATATGAACGCTATATATGGAACGGTCTTGTATCCGGAACTGCTTATAAGGAACTGCTCATATTGGAATTGCAAATAAGGGTACTGCATTAAATCTGGAACGCTATATATAAAATCTAATTAAAAAATATATATTATTTTATATATTTATATTGTTTATTTATTTTTTATATATAAGCGTTCCAGATATAAGCAGTACCATATATGCAATTCCAATATGAGCAGTTCCATATACGCAGTTCCGTAAACAAGCGTTCCATATATAAGCCATTCCATATCTAAGCAGTTCCATATATAGCAAGATTCCATATATAGCATTCCAAAATAGCAGTTCCATATATAAGCATTTCCGCATAAGCAGTTCCATGTACGGTAACACAGCGCCAGATCTAAGCAGTATACCAGATATAAGCAGTTCCGTGCGGGATTAACCTGGGGAGCTCGCAGTCCATGAAGTGGATTCAATTTTGGGAGACCGCAGTCCAGAGGGAAATTAAACCGGGGCGATGCAGTCCAAGAGAGGGATTTAAAACAAGAGCTCGCATTCCAGAGAGGGATTTAAAGAGAGCCGGCAGGCCAAAGGAGGGATTAAAACTGAGGCACGCAGTCCAATGTGAGGGAGTAAACTGAGGTCTTTGCAGTCCAATGTGAGGGAATAGCTTGCAGTCAGAGTGAAGGATTTAAACGGAGCATGTTAAGAGAGCCTGCAACAATGCGAGGGCTTTAAACTGAAGCATGCCCACACCAATGCACGGGGCCAACTGAGCCTGCAGTACAAAGCGCGGGGCGGAACTGACCTGCAGTACAATGCGAGGGAATAAACCGTCCGCATACTTACCCACACGGCCAGAAGACAAGGGACAACACAACGGGACCACGCCCGTACCGGTCACGAGGAGGCAGGGATGCGCACGGCGACCCAACCCCGCACCCCAAAAAAGAAAACAAAAACCGGGTGGGGGCCAGACCGGCGTAAGCAGCAGCAGTGCCGCGACGAGACGAGCAGCGGGCAACCCGCATGAAAGAGCCCTCAAAGGAGAGAGCTGGCAAAGACCCACGGGACCACAGCACGAGACCCGTAGCAGTGCAGCCACGCGGAGGAGGAGCATGCCAACACGCACAAGACAGAGGACAGCAGACCGCAGGATAAGCGAGCGTAGACAAAGCGATTACACTCAGAACGAAACATGCAAGGCATCGGAGGCCGAGAGTGGGAGTCTCCGTTTTTATGCGGCTGGCGTAGTCCGGTACGGTGATTGGAAGGGGTCGTCTGTAGAGCGATAGGGCGGGGATGTGAACCGCCTGGAGGGGGTAATTTTGGTAACGTCTACCAAATTGAATTTTCGGCGGGGGCATGCATTAATCATTCACTTCAAACACATTGGGATAAACGCTTACTGTAGCCACAGCTTGCCCTGGGGCACACTGACAGAAGCGAGCAACCAGTATGTGCCATTGGCCCCTCGACCACCACCAACCATTCACACACACACTAGACTCATTCTAGGCAATGAGGTGAAAGAGTCTTGCCCTAGGAACACAACGGCAATTTCCCTTTACAGCCACAGCCGCCCCACTGTGGCATCCAGCCATAGGTTAAGTGTCTTGCCAAGGACAACAACGACACAGACATCAGTGGGAGTCAGTGGAGACCTGGGTTTATCCAACCCACTACCTTCAGCTCCAAAGGTCAATGCTCTACCCACTGATCCACCGTCGCCCCTAATGTGTCCCTTTAAAGAGCGTGGCTCTTCCAAGACACAGCTCGCAGTGACACAAGAGCCTATCTTCAACATAATAAACACATCTACAATGTGGTGCTATGACCCACAAGCTTTTTAAAACCGAAGCGGAATCAAACCCTTCTGAAGAAACAAATCCTGGAAAATCTTATAGCCAAACAGCTTTGCTTACCAGCCACCGTCAGGAACAAAATATGTTTTGAAACCTTTCAATTGGGATTCAGAGCTCATCATAGCACTGAATGGGCCACTAGTCAAAGTAAAAAATACATACAACTAGCTGCTAAAAGTGGACAAGTGTCAGTGTTGGTCCTACTGACCCCAGTGCTCCATTTAACACAATAGACCCACAGAAATTCTACTGCGGAGGCTAGATGTGATATAGGTCTCAGAGAACACCCTGGCGGGTTTTTTAAATCCTATCTATCGATCGGGTGTTATCAACTTGTCAATTTGAATCACAAATCTCGCCTTATTCTGGTGGAATTCGATTGCACACTCCTTCAAGGCTTATATAAGCCAAGCAACTAAAACAGCTTTTTTCCACTTGCGGAACAATCGCTAAAATCAAGAATATCCTTCCTAAAAGTGACACGGAAACCTTCTTGGGTGGGTTAGTATACATATCGCAGTCAGAGATGCCACCCAAGTCTCATAGCACCAGCCCCTCACTGACCCTCTGCAGGTGGTGAGTCCACAGGAGGACGACTGCTCTCTGAGTGTGAGCATAGCCTTGATCTTTCAGTGGGGGCTTTGGGCAAAGTGGGGTTAAGTGTCTTGCCCAAGGACACAACGACAGCAGTCATCAGTGGGAGTCGGTGGAGAAGGTGCAGAGGTGGGAATTGAACCCACGACCTTCTGGGCTTAAGGCCAATGCTCTACCAACTGAGCTACATTATCACAGGTGTCTGGAATTGATTTCAGTGATCCAAGATACGTTATTATAATAACGTGTATCTTGTATAACTTTGAGCGCGAGGTTAAGTGAAGCAATATTACTGATTTTCAGTGTTGTGCCAGTTCACAGCTTTTCTGAACTAGTTCAAGTTCAGTTCATACATGCTCAAAGTGAACAGTTCACGTTCAAAGTTCACATTTTTAATTCAAAGTTCAGTTCATTTTACTTTTTTCGTGAAAGTCAAATAAATACTTTTTTTCACACTATGAGCTATATAATTTTTTAAATTATATATATATATATATATATATATATATATATATATATATGTATATATCTCCTGTACACCCACAGGAGGAGAGCCTTATGACTACAAAACAGACAAGATTTACATGGTTTTCAATGGGAGCCAAACGGAGTTGCTCCATCTCTGCTCATAAACTACAGACAGTAATGCGCTGCAGTGCGTGTGTCTATACTTTATGTCAAATGTAAACGGTGTAAACTTTGTCGCTAACTCACCCTGTGTTTTCATCACGACTCGGGCACATGTGAAAAGCACCAGCTCACAGCGCCGCACCGCAACACGGAGTCGGGGTGCGTCCACAGACGGGGGAAACCGTAGGAATTTTTAGATTTCGGCGGAAAAAGTGCGAGAATACAGGAGGGAGGAACTTTCTCTCGTTGAGTTTTAAAAGAGAAAACAGATTCCAACGTTCATAGTGATGTCTGCCGTTCATGACACATAAAATGAACTAATTCACGTTCAAGCTCTTTTTTTTAAAAATGTGATGCGTTCAGTTCAACGTTCACAAAAAAATGAGCGTGTTCAATGAACGCGTTCTTTTGAACTCGTTCACGCACAACACTGCTGATTTTTCATTTGTATGTGGAGAGGATTTGAACTTAAAACTGTCTGTTTTGTTATTTAAAAGGAACAAAGAAACGAGGTGGACATCCATCACAATTAATGTTTGAGAAAAGGCTAAATACTTTGAAATTACTGCATTCAAAGCACATGCGGACGGTGCGGTGCCCGTCTGCATGTGTCCCTGTCCCTCAGACCTGCCCTGTCCATGTCCCTCAGACCTGCCCTGTCCCTCAGACCTGCCCTGTCCCTCAGACCTGCCCTGTCCCTCAGACCTGCCCTGTCCCTCAGACCTGCCCTGTCCCTCAGACCTGCCCGGTCCCTCAGACCTGCCCTGTCCCTCAGACCTGCCCGGTCCCTCAGACCTGCTGTCCCTGTCCCTCAGACCTGCCCTGTCCCTCAGACCCAGTGATGGGAATAACGGCGTTACTTTTTTCAGTAACGAGTAATCTAACTAATTACTTTGACTGTAACTATAACGCCGTTATCATTTCCGACATCCCGTTACTGCGCGTTACTCAAGAAGCACAATGAACTTCTCTTTTTACTTCGTGATAGGACTCGTGCGCCTGTTGTCATGAGAGAAGGGAGGATGAGAAAACCTTTCAGCAATTATTGGCTGATGTAAAACATATTTCCTTTACAATCTACATGTCTACAGTTGAGAGGATGGCTCATAAATTGTTTTTTGAAACAAATATGGGTCTTAATCGCGCTCAACCACGGCTTGTATCACCGTGAGGCCTCAGAGGAGCTCATGTGAGCGCAGAAGTCGGCTGCATACAATTCCATCGATAAGCTCCTTTCTCTTCCTGGTTCATCTGCTAAGGTTTAGCTAACATACATATAACACATTTAAGATAATTTAAAATGCACTTAGGGTAATTTTTCAATGACTATATGAATGATAAGAAAGAGAGGTGAAGTGTAAGACGGTTGATTTTAGAAATTGGATGCACCCTGCTGCAGCAAAACACAGGAGTTTATGGAGGACACACGCGTTTTGTTTTACTTTTTAAAACTCATTGGACTCATTTCCAAACGGAGGATTACATATCTACGCTCAAACTATTATCTGGACTTAAACACAGAACTGGTCTGAACTGAAGTGGACTGTGCAGGTCATTTATAAGGTAAGTTAGTAGTTTTGCGTTTTGTATGAACAAACAATGCAGGCATGAAACATATTCTGCTGTAGCCAAACAAACTGTCCAGTTGATGTATATGATATATATGTTCATCTGATTGGGCTGAAGTCAGTGCTTCACCGGTGTTTCCACGTTCACAGTGGAGCGTGTTGTGTTTAGTGCTTACAGCACAGAGAGATGAAGAGTGAACAGGACTTCAGCAAAACAGTCTTTTCTAGATGGAAATATTGGCACTATTTAAACCCCTTGAGGTTAAAGGTAAAAATGCGCACGTCGAGTGCACATTATGTTCCAGAACAAAACGAAAAAGTAACGCAATAGTTACTTTTACTGGTAACTAGTTACTTTTTTACTCCTGTGGACTCACCACCTGCAGAGGGTCAGTGAGGGGCTGGTGCCCCTCACTGACTTGGGTGGCATCTCTGATTGCCACCCCCCTCACCCAGAAATGAATTAAAGGGTAGAAAATGGATGGATGGATGGATAGTTACTTTTATAGTGGAGTAACTCCGTTAGTAACTCAGTTACTTTTTGGGAGAAGTAACTAGTAACTATAACTAATTACTTTTTCAAAGTAACGTGCCCAACACTGCTCAGACCTGCCCTGTCCCTCAGACCTGCCCTGTCCCTCAGACCTGCCCTGTTCCTGTCCCTCAGACCTGCCCTGTCCCTCACACCTGCCCTGTTCATGTCCCTCACACCTGCCCTGTCCCTGTCCCTCACACCTGCCCTGTCCCTGTCCCTCAGACCTGCCCTGTCCATGTCCCTCACACCTGCCCTGTCCCTGTCCCTCACACCTGCCCTGTCCATGTCCCTCACACCTGCCCTGTCCCTGTCCCTCACACCTGCCCTGTCCCTGTCCCTCAGACCTGCCCTGTCCCTGTCCCTCAGACCTGCCCTGTCCCTGTCCCTCAGACCTGCCCTGTCCATGTCCCTCACACCTGCCCTGTCCCTGTCCCTCACACCTGCCCTGTCCATGTCCCTCACACCTGCCCTGTCCCTGTCCCTCACACCTGCCCTGTCCCTGTCCCTCAGACCTGCCCTGTCCCTGTCCCTCAGACCTGCCCTGTCCATGTCTCTTAGAGCCAGAAATGTTTTCAATCCAGCCACCCGAACGCTGATCGTGCTTTCTGTTTTGAGCGTCTTGCACGTAGGTCTGCGTCTGATGTAATTCATGACGCCATCGTATTTTTACTAGTTCGAAAATGTATGAATTATTTTCTCTGTAGTCTACAGGTGCAGAGGATAACTCCATAGTGGGAAAAGTTAATTGTGGGAAATATCCATGGTTTTGTAATATGAATGTACCTTCAGTTTATGTAGAAACTGTACTTTGCTTCCCAGCTTTTGAAGAGAGCAGACGTGTGCCTCTCTGCTCCGCGCTTGCTTCGCCTTTTTATCTCCTTTAATCATTTTATTTACATTTTTATTCTCAAAAGCAACGAAACAGGACAGATAGAAACCTGCTGCCACAGCGGCTCTTTAGGAATGAGTTTGACACCCCAGTTGTTAGATTTATTGTTTATTAAAAATGTTACTCAAAGATACAGCTAAAGTCAGGTCCTATAGGTTGTGCTCAGGTTGTACAGAGTTCTGTTTCAGTTGAAGCCAATATACACGTTGCCTAAACTTGCCTTCTTCAAATGCATTCATTCCATTAAAGTTTTTTGTAACTTGTTTTATTTGTTTCCTCTCACAAATGTATGCTGGTTGGAATCTTTACATATTGACCAAATGTTAAGATAAGTCTGGGTGTAATGTCTCCCTTCGAAGTCTACTAAATGGAGGCAATACGTATTCATAAGATTTAACATAACTCCAGGTGCTGTGGCAAACAGTTGATCTTTTCTCTAACCTCTAAAGCAGTGGTTCCCAAAGTGGGGGTCCCGACCCCCCGGGGGGTCGCGGGAACCCCTGGGGGGGGTCGCAAGATGATTTCCAAAAATGTTTTAAAAACATTAAAAAAATAACAAAATTTGCTAATTAATAGCCCTCAAATATTGATTTAGCATTTGATTTGATTCAAAAGGACTACTGTTAAATTGTGTTAGGAGAATATAAAATATTTAAATTACGTTTGTAATTTTGTCCAGTCATTGACAGCGTCAATCAAAATCAAGTGGTGCGAAGAGAGGGAGAGAGGGCAGCGGTAGAACAGCGCGGTAAAGAGGCCCGGCTATTCGGAGTCAAAGGTAAAGAGGTCCGCACATTAAAAGCGGGGGACCGGTTTATGCTGTTACTTATAGTAACTTTGGAAAAAGAAGAAAATAACTGGAAAAATAACAGCAGAAAGCGGCCGCCCGCTTTTGATGTGCGGACCTCTTTACCGCTGACTCCGAAAAGCCGGGCCACTTTACCGCGGTACGAGAACAGAGAGGGCAAGCCGCAAGAAATGCGCTCCAAGAAGGGAGCCCACCGAGCCCATCACTGTGTCGCTACGTGAGTAAAAATACGCAAGCCTCCTTTTTTGGGCTGGACAGTGCAGCTCAGCAGTGGCGCGAGTCTCTGCGTTACTCCGTATCAAGGAAATACATGCTCATTGACGGGAAGGACTGTTGAGGTGGGGGGTCGCGGGGGAGCAGCGCATTTATGATGGGGGTTGCGGGCTAAAAACTTTGGGAACCCCTGCTCTAAAGGTTCACATTAATCCGGTACAATAATACAAATGAGCAATATTTTTATTTAAACATTAAGTAAACTCATACACACGCATGATACAATTACATATTTACATTACAACCGTTCATCCATGACTTGTCAGTATTGTCTCTCGTCTATTATAAAGGCTGCGCAAGATTCTGTGGAAAATACAGTTGAGCTAAGTAAAATGTCCTGTTCCGTTGCTTTGACCATGCATGCGTGCACTCTGCCGCGAGGTCTCTTCTCTCTTCCGGTGTCGGAAATAATAATAAAACGAAATAATAGTAATGCCATGATTCTTTTGAGCGTTTTAAACAACTAGAGCCAAAACAAACACATTGAAATTGAAGCATAAAGGATTTATTTTTTTATTCAAGTTTAGAAAAGGAAAAGAACAATAAACGAATGGAAATTTAGATTTTCTGATTTTATTTTGAAACGGAATAACTAATGATCGAAGGGTACACGAATAATCCTTGTACCCTTCGATCATTAGTTATTCCGTTTCAAAATAAAATCAGAAAATCAAAATTTCCATTCGTTTATTGTTCTTTTCCTATTCTAAATCAAATTGGAAAATCAAATCCTTTATGCTTCAATATCAATGTGATATCAATTAGAGTTTCGCTTTTCAGCCCGAGCCCGAGCAGGCCCGAGGCCCGACCTGAGTTCGGGCCGGGCTTGGGCATCATTTGGCGCTCAGCTGTCGGGTTCGTGCCGGGCTCGGGCTTCTTTTTTTAAATATATGTTTCTTTTTTATTATTATTATAATTATTTTTAAATGATTTTTATACATAATGATATGCATATATATATATAAATAACAATTTCCGTTGATTGACAACAAGTTATTAAAAATAGTTAATATATTAATGACACCTTAACCGGCGTGTCCTACATCAGCAGCGAGCCGTGAACGCATCATCCCCGTGTCTCCTGCTGCTGTGGTCAACAGCGAACAGGAACAATAGTAGAAATGGATCAAGTGGAGACAAAACAAATTCAAAAGTGGAGACTATACTTGCAATTGGAAGGTGAGTGCGTACAACGGGAAATCAGATGTGTCGGGTTCTGTCGGGCTCGGGCCTGTTATACAGCGTTCATTGGTCGGGCTTATACGGGCTCGGGCTTAACATTAGCGGGCTCGGGCCGGGTCGGGCTTCATTTCTCAGGCCTGAACGAAACTCTAAAATCAATGCGACACCGGAAGAGAGAAGAGACCTCGCGGAAGGGGGGGCGTTTGAACCATATTCTTTGGAACCCCAATTCCAGCTAGCCTTTGTAGTTTGCAAACGAATTTGGCCTACTTACTAATCTGCGGCCTACCCAAAATTGCAAACCTGTCGCCGCTATTGATTTTTAGGCTATTAGGATGAAAAAAAAAACATCAAATGAAACACAGCATCTGACTCATATGCATTCATTCTCTCACAGATTACACATTTAAAGCAAAGGACTAAACAAGCAAAAGAAAGGTGTAAAATGTATCAACATTAATTTACTCAAATAATAAGATCTAATAAAAAAGCATACTATTACAATTTGCTGGAGCAGAACAAGAGTGATATCCAAGGTACCTGGAAGGCATTAAATGGAATTATCAGGAACGGGGGAAAAAAGGAAGAATATCCAAATCACTTCACAGTAAATAAATCAATAATCAGTGAAAGAAAGGATATTGTAAATGCATTTAACAGCTTCTTTGTCAGTGTTGGACCAAAGTCCATCCATCCATTTTCTACCCTTTAATCCATTTCTGGGTCAGGGGGGTGGCAGTCAGAGATGCCACCCAGGTCTCATAGCACCAGCCCCTCACTGACCCTCTGCAGGTGGTGAGTCCACAGGAGGACGGCTGCTCTCTGAGTGTGAGAATAGCCTTGATCTTTAAGTGGATAACTTTGGTCCAACTTTGTTGGACCAAAGTTATCCTATGAAATAGTGAAGCCAAACAATGTGAATGAATTTGATGAAAGAACTACAACAAATAATTAGGGCTATCATACTATAACAAAATTGAATTGAGTTAATTACAGCTTAAACATTTATTCATCGTAATTAATTGCATTTCAAACTATCGGCAAAATTATGCCATATGTAGCGCGAGCGGTGGGCGAACTATAAAGTGGTAAATTTAAAACCAACAACGCCACCCAGGTCTAGGACCTGGGAAATATAATTAACTTAAATAGAGCGCACAGGTAAGTTTTAAGGAGGAGGCAGAGACAGTCTCATTCAATGGTGCAAAAGTTTTATTTTGATTTCACAATCAAAAGCTGCGTCCTGGTCGATAAAAATCACACGTGCACGAGCAAACACACCACACGCACACCATCAAGTACCGTATACACACACAACACGCACACCATCAAGTACCGTATACACACACAATCACACGCACTACACACACTACACACGCTAAAGAAATTCACCAGATGGGTGGGTTTCACACCTCTTTCTCTTTCACTGGACACTCCTGTCTCATGTCCTCTTGTGGCAAGGTGGTGGCTTTTGTTGGCCTTTAAAAATGCAAACTAAGTTCATGCAAACATTGGCAGAGCAATAATTGCTTCAGTGAAGGAAAAACATTTGTAGCCTACAGTAACAGTCTGCAGCAAAGTATAAAATATTGAATGTTGTTTAACAGAGACATCAAACCGTTTATAGCAGTCATTGAGCTCAAATGTCTCTGTAGCAGCTCAATTACACAATTGAGTCTAAAGTTAGACTGAACTGTTCTACTGTACTTAAAACTAGGCAGACATTCATCAGCTAACTCCATTATATTTGTAAAACACGGAGAAAGAAAGTTTCCCACCCATCATACATTTGTATTAGCAATATCGTTTTACAAGTTTACTACAGTCTAGCAACTATTCATTTCAACCTTCGGCACAACACGCCAAAACACGCATGGAATTCAAGATTTGGACATTAATGCGACTTCTGGTGCTGCATGGACCAGAAGTCCAATTAAAATAATGGACAATTGCTCCCCCCTGGACTGCCACCTTAACGTGGTGGGGGAGTTTGAGTACTCGGATGATCCTGGGAGCTATGCTGTCTGGGGCTTCATGCCCCTGGTAGGGCCTCCCATGGCAGACAGGTCTCGTGTGACGAGTCAGACAAAGAGCAGTCCAGAAGACACCATGGACAGCACTCATACGAAACCAGTGACGTCGCCCGGCATGGCGCAGCCGGGGCCCCACCCTGGAGCCAGGCCTGGGGTCGGGGCTCGTAGGCGAGCGCCTGGTGGCCGGGCCTTAGCCCACGGGGCCCGGCCGGGCTCAGCCCGAATGGACGACGTGGGCAGTCCCTCCTGTGGGCCCACCACCTGCAGAGGGGTCCGTGGTGGCATGGTGCAGAGAGGACTGGGCAGCAGTCGAAGGCGGAGACCTCGACGACCCAGTCCACACACACAACAGCTGGCTCTCGGGACGTGGAACGTCACCTCACTGGGGGGGAAGGAGCCCGAGCTTGTGGGGGAGGTTGAGCGATACCGACTAGAGATAGTCGGCCTCACCTCCACACACA